ACAGACACAGACAGACACAGACAGACACAGACAGACACAGACAGACAGACAGACAGACAGATAGATAGATAGATAGATAGATAGATAGATAGATGTGCTTACATGGATTTAGACTCGTCGTGTTGGGTTGAGCTTGGAAGCTGCTGGGAAATGCAACGATGGAACTCTGAAGCAAGGCAGCCAAGTGTGAGAGCCAGCCGCTCCAAGGCAATGAACCTTCGTTGGTTATGGTTGGATGTGAAAACAAGTGCCCCGCTACACTGAATGGATGAACAGATAGCAGTCGGATTCTTCGGGGAAGCCGGACCAGCTCCCAACGGAAGCGATGCTGTCCGTTCTGGGGCGGGGAACGGAGGGGAAGGCGCTGGGTGCCCCGAGATGCAGGACTTTTCTCTTCTCACTTCGTTGGTGGCTGCACCTTGCCACTCCAGCAAGTCTCCCAGATCGAGCAGGAGTGGCCCGTAGTGAGGTTGTTTCCAATCAGCATGTGGTGTTTGTTGGCCAGTGCCTGGGTGGTGCCGCTAGCCGCTAGTGGACTGGTTGCAAATCTTTGATGCCTGGTCCTTGAAGATCTTGAAGACTCCCACTGGTCCTGAAAAAGGCTTGGAGCTGGTAGTGGCCGAGCAGAAGCTTTGAACATCCCTTGGCGATGCCATTGTCGTTGTCGTGGTCGTTTCTTCCTTTGACGGGTGGCTGGAGGAGGTGCCTCTCTGGGATGCCTCTCGCCAAGAGGCGGGGCAATTGATCTGGGAGGGATGGGCCACAAACACTCCAAGAGTTATTGTATGTTATTGTCTTTTTCTGTGTTTCTAACAGCAGTGGCCTCCAACCGACTAGCGATGGCCTCCAACCTACTAGCGATGGCCTCCAAGAGTTACTGCTATCAGCCCATCCTTTCTTTCTTTCTCCCGAGCCGGGACCTAGCAATGTACATGCCCCACGGAGTAGGAGTCCGAACGCATCGGCTGCGTAAAGGCTTGGATAAAGTATGGAAGTTGCACTGCACTAGTTGCTTTGATCACATCATTTAGGAACTTTCATTGCACAGAGGACTAGATGGCCCAGATGGCGATGCGATGTGTAGTGATATATGCATTCCAGATCATACGATGCAGTTCACATCTTCAGCTCGGGCGATAATGAGAGTGGTTCCAGATGGTGATTCAGCTTGACTCTTGGGGATGACTTGCTATACAACCGATGGATGTATAGGAGGGGACCTAGAAGAAGGTAGTTCTATCATGTGATCTAGAAGGGAGTTTTCTCTTTTTTTGCGTCCCTGCGGCCACTATGACGTCACCCTGGAACCTCAGCCTAGTCATGCATGAGCTGGGATGTCACGCACACGTCTCCCAAGAAGACCC